TGCTGCTGCTGCTGCTGTTGCTGTTGGTGGTGGGGTTGTTGTTGTTGCTGTTTCTGTTGCTGCTGGTTCCGAATCTGCTTCTGCTGTTGCTGCTGCTGTCCTGGTTGCTGCTAACAATTCCCCTGCTGCTTCTGCTGCTGCTACTGCTGCTGCTGCCCCTGCTGCTGCTGAGCTGTATTTTGTTCGAGCTGCGCTGCAGCAGCACCCCGAGGCCTTCTATTACTTAGGCGAGATAAAGCAGCAGCAAGCAGCAGAAACAGAAAATAAAAAAAAAAAAAAACGAGTCTGTCTTTTGTTTTTTATTTTTTTCTTTTTCTCTTTGCTTCTGGTTTTTTTGTTTTTGTACTCTCTAGTCTTCTTCTTTTTTGTTTTTATTTATTTATTTATTTATTTATTTTTTTTTTATTTTTTTTTTTGGTGGTGGTGGTGGTGGGGTTGTCTCTGTTTCTGTCTCTTTTTATATCTGTCTCCTTTTTGTTTTTTTTTTTTTATTTTTTTTATTTTTTCTGTTTTTTCTTTTTTATATTTATTTGTTTTTGTTTATATGTCTCCTTTTGTCTCTTTTTATCTGTCTCCTTTTGTCTCCTTCTTTGTTTCTTTATATTTTTTTCTTTGTTTGTTTTTTTTTGTTTTGCTTATATCTATCTCCTTCTATATATAAAACATTTATTTTTTATTTTCTCTCTCTTGCTGCTGCTCTTGCTGCTGCTGCTGCTGTTCCTGCTGCTGCTGTCCCCGCTCCTGCTGCTGCTGCTGCTGCTGCTGCTGCTGCTGTCCCTGCTGCTGCTGCTGCTGCTGCTGCTGCTGCAGCTGCTGCTGCTGTCTCAGCGTTTCTACGGAGCAGCAGCAGAAGGGGGCTATCATTTAGGGTGGATAAGAGAAGGAGAAACCCTAGAGACAAAAATAAAAACAAAAATAAAAAACAAAATAAAAAATAATATAAAAACAACGCAGGCAGAGCATCTACAAACATGCAAAGCTGCTGCACTTGTGAGGGTTTAGGGTTTAGGGTTTAGGGTTTAGGGTTTAGGGTTTTGTGGGGCTTGGATTAGAGAGGTTTTGGCATCTGCATCGAGGGTTTAGGGTTTAGGGTTTAGGGTTTGGGGTTTAGGGTTTGAGGCGCAGTCGTTCCTATTAGCCCTAAAAGTCTAGGGTTTAGGGTTTAGGGTTTAGGGTTTAGGGTTTAGGGTTTAGGGTTTGTTTGTGTTTGATAGGCATACAAAACAGCAGCAGAGTACGGCATCAGTGCAGACAACATACGAAGAGGTTCGCATGCTGCTGCTGCTGCTGCTGCTGCTGCTGCTGCTGTTTCTGCTGCTGCTGCTGCTGCTGCTGCTGCTGCTGCTGGGACACCGTTAGCTGCTGCTGGTTCTGCTGCTGCTGGTTTGCTGCTGCTGCTGCTGCTGCTGCTGCTGTTAGTTGCTGCTGTTGCTGCTGCTGTTGCTGATGCTGTTTCAGTTGCTGCTTGATCTGTTGCTGCTGTTGCTGTTGCTGTTGCTCATCTGCTGCTGCTATTTCTGCTGCTGCTGCTGCTTCTTATCTTTTGTAGCTATTGCACCTGCTGTCTCTGCTGCTGCTGCTGCTGCTGTTGCTGCTGCTCATCTACTGCTGTTGCTGCTGTGTCTGCTGCTGCCGCTGCTGCTGCTGCTGCTGCTGCTGCTGCTGCAGCACTGCAGCTATATAACGAGAGAGACTATGAGGGTTCGTTGCTGCTGTCTTTGGCAGCAGCAGAAGAAGGATATGAAATAGCTCAATCGAATGCAGCATTTCTGCTGCAGTCTGGTGCTGCTGCTATTCCTGCTGCTGCTGCTGCTGATCCTGCTGCTGCTGCTGCTGCTGCTGCTGCTGCTGCTGTATTCCCTAAGGAGATGCTGCAGCCAGTGCAGCCACACACAGATCAAATGCAGCAGTCTAACAACACCCCGCAGCAGCAGCAGCAGCAGCAGCAGCCGCAGCAGCAGCAGCAGCAGCAGCCGCAGCAGCAGCAGCAGCAGCAGCAGCAGCAGCAGCAGCAAGTGAATCAGGTGTACAGACAGCTGAACCGCGCAGCACTGCAAGGAAATGCTGCAGCTTTAAGGGAGGTTGGCTTGATGCATGCAGACACCAAGTGGGGTGTATAGGCAGCTCTTTTCTTTTTTTTTTTCTTTTGTTTTTTCTGTTTTTTTGTTTTTTCCTTTTTTTTTGTTTTTTTTTTGTTTGTAT